CTAGAGAGATAATTTATAACCCAACTGCTGTGTATAAAAAAATATCTAAAACAACTATGCCATGTCGACATATATGTGTTCTTGACGTAACAATTCCAAGCATCCAAAAGTTCCAATATCTTACATTATTTCTTCATGTCCTGAAGTACAATGAGAGATCAGTTAAATCTCAGTTATTTCAAATGACACCTCAGACTAAATTTAATATTCAGCTCAGTCCATTTGTGACGGATGATAAACCCACTGCTTCCTTCGTTTGTTTTGTCCGTTGTCTGTTTCTTGTCCTGGTGGTTTGTGGTTCATATGTACTGAGTATACTGAATTGGTGGAGCTCTTATAGAATACAGAACAAAACAAATTGCTTCTTTCATCTACTCAATCAATTCATTTATCTACATGAATGATACAGACATCTTGTATACAAACAGTTTTTTTCAATTTGTTTTACAATCATAATAATGACATTACCAAAACCATGTTGCCTCTTTATACAACAATTACTGTTTCATCATTCACTTAAAATATTGAGATGATACATTAGCTTATGGGTCCTGTTGTTAACCAGAACACCCAGAGATGATACATAAGCTTGTGGGTCCTGTTGTTTACCAGAACACCCAGAGATGATACATTAGCTTATGGGTCCTGTTGTTAACCAGAACACCTAGAGATGATACATTAGCTTGTGGGTCCTGTTGTTAACCAGAACACCCAGAGATGATGCATAATGGTATGGGTCCTGTTGTTTACCAGAACACCTAGAGATGATACATAATGGTGTGGGTCCTGTTGTTAACCAGAACACCCAGAGATGATACATTAGCTTATGGGTCCTGTTGTTTACCAGAACACCCAGAGATGATACATAAGCTTGTGGGTCCTGTTGTTAACCAGAACACCCAGAGATGATACATAATGGTGTGGGTCCTGTTGTTAACCAGAACACCCAGAGATGATACATAAGCTTGTGGGTCCTGTTGTTTATCAGAACACCCAGAGATGATACATAAGCTTATGGGTCCTGTTGTTAACCAGAACACCCAGAGATGATACATTAGCTTGTGGGTCCTGTTGTTAACCAGAACACCCAGAGATGATACATAATTGTGTGGGTCCTGTTGTTAACCAGAACACCCAGAGATGATACATAATGGTGTGAGTCCTGTTGTTAACCAGAACACCCAGAGATGATACATAAGCTTATGGGTCCTGTTGTTAACCAGAACACCCAGAGATGATACATAATTGTGTGGGTCCTGTTGTTAACCAGAACACCCAGAGATGATACATAATGGTGTGAGTCCTGTTGTTAACCAGAACACCCAGAGATGATACATAATGGTGTGAGTCCTGTTGTTAACCAGAACACCCAGAGATGATACATAAGCTTATGGGTCCTGTTGTTAACCAGAACACCTAGTGATGATACATTAGCTTGTGGGTCCTGTTGTTAACCAGAACACCCAGAGATGATGCATAATGGTATGGGTCCTGTTGTTAACCAGAACACCCAGAGATGATACATAAGCTTGTGGGTCCTGTTGTTAACCAGAACACCCAGAGATGATGCATAATGGTATGGGTCCTGTTGTTTACCAGAACACCTAGAGATGATACATAATGGTGTGGGTCCTGTTGTTTACCAGAACACCCAGTACATAATTGTGTGGGTCCTGTAGTTAACCAGAACACCCAGAGATGATACATAATGGTGTGGGTCCTGTTGTTAACCAGAACACCTAGAGATGATACATTAGCTTGTGGGTCCTGTTGTTAACCAGAACACCTAGAGATGATACATAATTGGTGGGTCCCATTATGTATCAAAACAAAAATTCAATACTCACTTCTTATATACCAGCTGACTATATTTACTATTATTACTCACTTTATAAAGATGATTTTCAATCACATTCTCCATTATACCCAGTGTACTTTACATGACTACTTTTAAAAAACAATGATAATCTTGCTTGTTTTTGTTTTCTTTACATCCACAGAGTTTTGAGTCAAAACATCCACTACATTGTGAAGTGAACAAACATGTTATACATAAAGCTCTGACTGGTTATAGATGATCCTTGTGTCCATTATAGTAATGTCTAAGCTGCAATAGAAAAAACATATAGACAAACTGCTGTTGGTTTAGTACAACCAGATATGGAAGTATTTATAAAACATGATTACTGTAAACATATTTAAATGACGACAGACATTGTGCTGAAGTACGACAGCACTAATGGTAGCTATGTATGTCATTGATATAGAAATAATCATGAATGCCCAAATTCATCGTGAAACTAACTTTGTCTAAAACAGATATTGTGCTTAAATTTTCTTGCCCAAAATTATGGACAATGGAGACTCTAACATTACAATGAAACTATTAAAACATGTAAGAACACAAAATTATTTTTTCTTTGTCATCAATCTTATTATAAATTGGACCCCTCTTGTAACTATAGCATCTAACAAATAAGGGTTTTATTTCTTTATCCGAACAACAGAAAACTACTCAAACAAATATTTCTGGTTTTACTAGGTCACTGGGTATTATAATGATTGTACCAGATACACAAGTATGACAACATCGTGTCTGAACATGGTAATATCAACATATTAATATGTCTACCAATCAGCAATGTTTAAGTCACAATGATGGTCATCCCATCTACAACTAAGGTCACAGGGATAGCCACCCCATCCACAAGGTCACAAGGAAGACTGTCGAATCCACACAAGGTCACAAGGATTGCCACTCATCCACACAAGGTCACAAGGAAGACTGTCCAAGCCACACCTAAGGTCACAAGGATTGCCACCCATCCACACCCAAAGCCACTGGTAATACAATGCCTTATCCATACATGCAAGGCAACACTTCTTAATCACCATAAAAACTATGATTTCTACTTTGTCCTCACATGTGAGGTCATTTGATGTCAGAATGTCCCCCCCATTCTAGGTAGTTATGGTACTGAGTGAAGCAGTCTCTCTTGCCTTTACACAATGGGATGTCACATGCTTCACATTTAAAATATGTGTAAGTATACCAGCCCGACTTTGTCTTAACTTTGTTGATTTGACAGTACACACAAGGCTTTCTATATCCTGCTGTAGTAACTGGTCGGTGAACTTTTGTATCATATTCCTCATGCAGGCTCGATTGTTTTACGGTACTTCCGGGGACATAACTCAGTTGTAAACCACGAATCTGTCCCTGTCTGTCCCGCAACTGTTCAACAACCTGCTCCAAACCGCGGACATTCCTGCCTGAAAACCAAAACAAAAGTGGAAAGGTCAAATACTGGTCATGATCACAACTCAAACATGGTCTTCTTATAGTTGAAAGAAGACAATTAAACAATGAACATATCAAAACAAAGTCTTTAAGCCAAGCAAACTGATGATATATATTTGGTGTCTGTATACTTTGGTAACTAAATAGGAAATGGAAGGTTACAGAAAGTAACAGAGTATACTAGCAGCCATAAAGATACGCAGTGATACTTAACACAAATCTATTGACATAACAACCATCACCAAAATGCTGACATACTGCCCTGATTCATAAGTAAATTAAAAACAAGAAAACAAGGAAAAACAAATAATAACACAGATGTGAAAATAAAACTGTTAAACTCGAAACAATAAAACATTATGTTAGAATAGTGGAAACTATGAGAAACAAAAAACAAAAAAATGTCATTAAGAGAACCAGATAGAAACACAGAAGCACTGAACAAACTTCATATCGAAAAAGAAAATAAAAGATTTCCACAAGAGATCATAACAACGATTTTAAAACTTCCCCATATCGTTCGTCAACTTTCAAATCTAAAATCTATCTCTTTTCTTGATATATTTTGTTTTTTAAGCTGACAACATCAATTACCAAGATAAGTGATATTAGGGACAAAAACACCGCTTGTCAAATCAACATGTGTTATTGTTAATAACACAATAAGTTTGGAAAGCAGGAATATTACTATTTTGAGATGGAAATTCACAATGGCAACAAGAAAATCATCAACCTTACAGATTAGCTTATAGCAAGCTGTCCCTGTTGGTTCCATTGTAAAAAAGAACAAGGGAGATAACATTATCGCCATCTAATTTTGTCAGCCATAGACTTGGCATGAGCTTTTTTACCAAATCAAGTCATTTTTTATGAAAACAAATGCAAGTCATCTCAAGATGAGCACTGTATTACCAGGTATCTGATGCGTATGACAAAGTCTGATGGAAGGTCTTAACACCAAAACATGTTGCTAAGCCTAAATTCAATCACTTGACCTTGTCATGTGTTTTTCTTTTTTATACAAGACAGTTTGTGATTTAACATTTATCTTTCCAGAAGCTTTTCCTAAAGAAGTTCTCAATATCAAAAGTATGAGAATGTTCCCAAGTGGCTAAGTGGATGTGGTGTTCAGGGGAGCTCTCCTGCAGTAAGCTCGTTTCTCTTACCTCTATACTGTAGGGACTACAAACTCTCATCACCGTACCTGTATCACTTCTATACTGTATGTTACATATCAGTGAATTAAAATACATAATCCGTAATCTCTATCCTAGTTCTGCAAGCCAGTGTAAACCATAAAGTTAATAAAGTATAGTCAATTTCAGCTAATGATGTTGTCATACACTGATACAAAAGCTAAGAAGGTATAGTCAATTTCAAATAATTATGTTGTCATACACTGGTAAAAAAAAGCAATAAGGTATAGTCAGTTTCAACTAATTATGCTGTCACACACTGATACAAAAGTTAATAACATAGAGTCAATTTCAGCTAATTATGTTGTCATACTCTGGTACAAAAGTTAATAACATAGAGTCAATTTCAGCTAATCATGTTGTCATACTCTGGTACAAAAGTTAATAACATAGAGTCAATTTCAGCTAATTATGTTGTCATACTCTGGTACAAAAGTTAACTGATAAGAAAAACAACACTCCTGACAAAGAAAAGACAACAACACATACTTTTTATCTACAACTACATTTATTAGGATCACAACACATTTTAACATTAGTACATCAATCAACATTCTACACAGTACACAGGAAATCAATTTCACAGCAATATAACAGCATGGTTCCCTTTTTTCTGGGAGAGACTGCTGGTGTTTCACTTTTTTTCCCTTTTTGTTTTTGAATTAGTGAAGAAATCACATTATTTAAACTTATTGCATAGAACTTGACACAATAAAAATTTTGTCTGTTATTCCGTCACTGTAGAATTTTTCTTAACTCTTGGAGACAACCCCAGACATAACTAAATTTGGTAAGTATACTGATGACTTGAGGTAAACAGACACATCAAGAGATAAAAAACATATATGATTACACACAAACAATAAAGAATCACTGAAATTGTCAGCAGGCAAAAATCTTCTCTCTTTTGGTTTCACTTTAACGTGATATAGATCATATGTGCCTTAATCAAAACCAACCACAACCCCCTATACTGTATTATCCATAAGTGATTTCCCTTTGGTAACAAGAATTTAATTGAGTAAAATTTATTATCCATTTTTTATAACGAAAATCATAATCTTTATTACATTTTAAGAGTCCAGTACCTGGCTTTAGATTGTGGATGTTTAAGATTTCAAACTCTGAGAAAAAACCAGCAATCTCTCCATAAAATACTCAGAAGCAGTGCTTCATTTGGACAGAATAATCATGGTTTGGTCATCAGAGAGAAAAATATTGCTTTCTTTATAAAAATTGTAATTATCACTATGAACTGAAAAATGTATCTATGACGATTGACTGCAAAATGTAAACATAATTACCGGTATGTGGAAATGTTCAAAATAACTTCCATGTGCGTACAATTTATGTAAAAAAAAAATATACACAACTCAAGAATATTATATACAAGATTGTAACTATTACACTGACTTGTTCCTTCATCAGACAAGGAAAGTTATTCTTTCAATTGTAATGAAGATGTTTTATAACAACCAAAATATGAGAACTGTTTCAATAAGAGTAATATACACAAGTCTGGAAATCAGTGAAAAGTACAGAATTTAAAAATGACAAATTGAGGACAAGAATCTGTTCTGATCAAAGGTCTGAAAAAACGTAACAATTGGCTAACACCAAGAAAAGAACAATCGGATCTTAATTCCACTGAATGTCATTGTGATATGATCATTAAATACATCTTTATCATGTTTAATTGAAAATCCCTGAATGGAATGAATTCCCTTTTTGGCTCGTCTTTTTTCATAAGCAACTTCCTGCTTTTGAATTAGTTATCCCAGAAATGTTCCATATGAAGGACAGAATTACCTAGAGAAGAGCTAGGTCACACCCATCATTATGAAATAGTTCAGTCATTTTGTGCAAGCTCTATACAAAATTCATTTGATATCACTGGTACATGCTGCCAGCTCACCACATTCTATTGTTTTCCTATTCCATAACCAGCTCACAGGTTTCTCCATTACTAGTGTGTTTGTAACCAACAATTATATCTCAGATAAGATACAAGCATCATCTTCCTCATTGAAGAGTTTATAAATGATGGGCATGACTCTGCTACAGATATTCTCAATCATAAACAAGTTTGTAACTGATGGGCAGGACTCTGTTACAGATATTCTCAATCATAAACATGTTTGTAACTGATGGCCATGACACTACTACAGATATATTCTCAATCATAAACATGTTTGTAACTGATGGGCAGGACTCTGTTACAGATATTCTCAATCATAAACATGTTTGTAACTGATGGGCAGGACACTACTACAGATATATTCTCAATCCTAAACATGTTTGTAAGTGACGGCCAGGACTCTGTTACAGATATTCTCAACCATAAACACGTTAGTAAGTGATGGCCAGGACTCTGCTACAGATATATTCTCAATCATAAACATGTTTGTAAGTGATGGCCAGGACTCTGTTACAGATATTCTCAATCATAAATATGTTTGTAACTGATGGCCATGACACTACTACAGATATATTCTCAATCATAAACATGTTTGTAACTGATGGGCAGGACTCTGTTACAGATATTCTCAATCATAAATATGTTTGTAACTGATGGCCATGACACTACTACAGATATATTCTCAATCATAAACATGTTTGTAATTGATGGGCAGGACTCTGTTACAGATATTCTCAATCATAAACATGTTTGTAAGTGACAACCAGGACGTGGGTACATGTTAATCTTACATCAGTAATGTGTTTGTTTCTAGTGTATTCATCACATAACATATTTGATCTCTGGTCGCCCTCTCGTGATTTGTGACAATAGCATTGAAGACAATCATAATCCAGCATTTGAGATGTGGCTAATATCCTCTATTTCTGAAACTGATCATTATATATGTCCTCTACCATCTAAAATTTCAGATGAATGATAATAACTATCAAACATTACATATCTTAAAAACAATTAATAGTACTTTTTTCTAGCCAGTTTAAGAAAAGAGGGAAAAGAGTGACCTCCTTAAATATGAAATGACTGCAACATCATTTTCTTTAATCCCCACCATTAGTCAGAACAAACACTGTCAGAGTACAAGTAGCTTTGTCTGATTATTCCAGTGTTGTAAGGTCATCAGAACTCTCCTTCTTGTAACTGTTTAGTTTTACAACTTTTTAGTAACTGTTGCAAAATTTGCATAAAATCAGCCATCACAACAAAGCATTTGTTACCATTTTCTTTGGACTAAGATATGTCACATGATGTGTAAATATATCAAGGACAAACAATGTTTATCATGTATAATATATATCAGGTGTCAGGTTTTGTAATATTGCTGGTAAACCTAAAACTAGTATAAATCTGCAGGCATGCCCTGAAGCTATCTGGAGGCATGCCCTGAAGCTATATGAAGGCAAGCATATGTGCCATGAATGCAATTCATGGTCATGATCAGTATACAAGTTGACAAACAACAAATCAGATCAAACCAACTCAAATCAAACAAGCCAGGACCTTGTCCTGTCAGTGATATCCAGCATGCTTGGGATTTACATCAGGATCTGATTTGCTCTGACCTGCAGCCAGGTATTCATGGTAGCGCACGAAACAGTCCCGTTTGCCCTGAGGTTGACAGAGCGGAATATCACATGCTTCACACTTATAGTAAGTATAAGTGTACCATCCCGACTTTGTCTTGACATTGTTGATCTGGCAGAACAAGCATGGTTTCTTGTATCCCTTCGCAGTAACTGGTCTGTGGTACATAAGAAGTTTGTCTTTCTGGTCAGCGAAGTACAGACTGTGGTGAGCAGACGCTACATCACCCATTTGAGAAGACATCAGACTGCCCTGCAGTACAATCCCCAGTGGATCACTTCCCATACCCAGAGTGCCAAAATCGCGGTGTGGATCAGCCCGACCTGGGCCTGAAAGGACAAAGCGAGATGGTGATTAGAAGATATGGTAAGAAGATGGTCAGTTAAACGGTTAGTTTAGCATATCATACATATATATATCATATCATTCCAACTAAAACAGCAGGTCTTCTTGTGTATAAAAGTTGTATGTTTACACAAACCAGACCTATTGAACCATGGGACTAGTACATCTCCCCATCTAGATTTTGACATTTTTCTTTTCCATTTTGGATTTTCCTCAGTCACCTCCTATGTTTAAAATTTACGCATTGAGCATCAATGACAAGTCCTGAAAGGACAAATATCTGTAGGATGCAATTTAATTCATGATGTAGGTCTCTAGTATCAGTGACGAGTCCTGGAAGGACATCAGACGAGTCCTGGAAGTGACGAGTCCTAGAAGGACATCAGTGACGAGTCCTAGAAGGACATCAGATGAGTCCTAGAAGGACCAGCTTTGATAGCTAATGACATGAAAGGACTGCCCAATCTTTCCCTTTACACACTTTGATGAAACAAATGAAGTTAAATATATGAATAACCAACCATCCATAAACACGTTTAAATGGTGTAATCCCAAATTCAAGACCTTCAACAGCTATTACAGGCAGCAGCTTGTAAGAGAGTATGCAACAGAACAGAATCAAAGGTATGAAGATTTTCTAAACCAATGTCACCCCAAGTACTACTGTACACACAAAACAAAGTTACAGGAGTCCAGGTGTCACAGGAACTGAAAACTCAACATATTAGTCTCAGAACTTCAAAATATCAATCACAACTCCAGATGTACAAATCAACCTGCTTAACGTAACATACCACATAAAACATTTCCAACTTCTTGTTTTCTATTCCACTAAATTTAATACACAGCATGTGTCTTCCAGTGTATCTTTATTTAATGTCCCTAAACACTAACATGGTTTAAAATATATGAATGTACTTTGTTTTCTTTAAAATAATCTGTTATGTAATCCTATGTAACTTATAAAATGATGGGACGAGTTCATCTCCTTAGCTATATATATATTTTCATATTCTAGATTCATGTTTTAGGCTTCCTGTATCACAGACAAGTCCTAACAGGACGAGACAGTAATATGATATTGTTATCTGATAAAAGAATCTTTTCTGTATGTCTTTGATAAAACCCATCCACATGACATCTGTGCATAAATATGGTGTTATTGATATTTTTTTATTGTGTGATTTTAAACATCAAAAAACTTGTACACAAAAAACGAACATTTGGTAATTGGTATCTTTTCTTCTGATTTTCTTGTTGTTAATATAAACAATAAAACAAAATAGATTATATAAACAATAAAACAAAATAGATTATATAAACAATAAAACAAAATAGATTATATAAACAATAAAACAAAATAGATTATATAAACAATAAAACAAAATAGATTAAACAACAACTTTTATTATTGACTCCATTGTTTATACAGCATCACAAGCAGATTCAGTCACAATATACATGGGACTGTATGACAATCTAAGACTAGTACATCACACCAGGACAATCGTCTCTAATCACAAATGTTGTCTACTCCAACATTATCTACATACAGCAAAACCCTCTTCACTTTGTGTTTCATGAAAGTTAAATTATCAAAGGCCTCTTTCTTTTTATATCTGTGGCGTAGTCTAAAACTTTGCTGTGCTTATTTCACACAAGTTAACTTCTCAAACACCTTTTTTCATTGCTGATATGTAGTCTGTCTTTTCATCATGATGACTTATTCTATTCAATCACATCACAATTGTCTGAAATACTTATGTAATTTACTCTTATGCTCTGATCTGGTACCAGAGATACATAATTTTGAGATGGGACCAACCTACATTTGTCCTGATTTGATTTTTGCAACTACTGCTAGGTTCACAAACTGTTAATCTGGTTCCTAATATAAAGAAACCAAATATTTTCTTCTGATCTTGGGCAAGAGCTTGTTGCTAAAAAAAAAAAAAAAACTTTTCATCTTTTTACAAAATCCTTTTTCCTTGATCAAGTTCTAGTGCATCTTTATTGCAATGCCAGCCTATCCATGAAAGCATGTAAAAAGAATTAGTCAATGTTGATTGAACCGACACTTGAGAAGAATATTTGGTGGAGGACGAGTTAAAAACACTATCTTAGATTGACGGTCAACCTCAGTATACCCTGATAGAAATCACCATAGCCAGTTTCTTGGGTCACGGTTTTACACCAGCCTTACTAGTAATCAATACCAATCAAGGTTGATTCCAATTGCCCTGTGATACTCTTCAAAGCAGTTTCTCTTGCCTTTACAAAGCGAGACGTCACATGCTTCACACTTATGGTAAGTGTATGAATACCATCCTGACTTTGTCTTCACGCCCTTCATTTGACAGAAAACACACGTCTTGTATTTTGTACCAGTGTTTCGTACTATTTTATGCTCCCCACTCCCGGGGTTGTCCTTTCCTAATGGAGGGAACGGTTTTGGATAGTCACTGCCAGATTCCTTGGAATATACATTAGGGAAATGATGAGGCAAATTGGCTGGTCGGCCCAAGAACGCGGGTTGTGAGAGATTAGACAGGGAAGTTTGGAGATAGGAAGAGAAAAGACTCGAAGTTAACTGGCTGGTGACTGGCTGACCTCCCGTGTGTAGGACACTGGTGTAGTTGGGAAATGTACTGGACAGCCCTGCAAGCACAAAAAACAGCTTCAATTATCATAGGTGGTTCTAAAGTTTGGCGACAGATAAAGGCATTTGTCATGAATGATCAAATGAACAAGTTTTGGGGTATCCCTGAGCAACAAAATCAGTATTACTGCAATAGTAAGATCCTATTCAAACCTGCACTAAATGGTTTTAACGGATCCCGGAGGTGTACTTTGGACTGGACAAAAGGAAACACAGCTATATCTTATCATATATTCCATGTAGAATAAACTCTGCAGAAGTCACTTCCAAGATAAAGCAATCATCGGATCAATGTTGATCTGTCGTCTTATTGTAGTCATAGAAATCCATAACTCCACAAACAGAAATGTGAAATCAGAAATCTGATGGAGTTAACACACCCCAATCACTTAGAACATCCACATAACAGATAAAGACTTTTGAGTTTAAGACGGATGTAGATTGATCAGGTTTCCTATATATCAATCCTTTCTATTGCGTCAATAACCACGGAAATGCTCCCAACAGATATACCTAGGTCTTTGTCTGAATACCAAATCACACACATTTCACATCTGTTTAATGTTGGTTCTGTTCTATACAAGGAGAGAGTCCTATAAGGATGTCTGGAACATTCCCAAAATTAGAACTATAACTACAGTACAGGTATTAGATTAGTATATAGGTATATATGTACATAGTTAATAGATTATCACTATGTAAGACAACATTTAAACAGGTTCAGCTGAAATCTAATTTTGTTAGCTTTACTTCAGAAAGACAGTAACTCAATGCTTTGTAATACAACTAAATGTCAGGAAGTAGCCCTGTATAATTTGTACTGTCAATGGTTATACAAAAGAGCCAGGATGTTGCCCTGTATAATTTGTACTGTCAATGGTTATACAAAAGAGCCAGGATGTTGCCCTGTATAATTTGTACTGTCAACGGTTATACAAAAGAGCCAGGATGTTGCCCTGTATAATTTGTACTGTCACTGGTTATACAAAAGAGCCAGGATGTTGTCCTGTATAATTTGTACTGTCACTGGTTATACAAAAGAGCCAGGATGTTGCCCTGTATAATTTGTACTGTCACTGGTTATACAAAAGAGCCAGGATGTTGCCCTGTATAATTTGTACTGTCAATGGTTATACAAAAGAGCCAGGATGTTGCCCTGTATAATTTGTACTGTCACTGGTTATACAAAAGAGCCAGGATGTTGCCCTGTAAACCGTAATACAAAAGAACCCAGATATTGTCATATTTCTGGTTCAGGTCTCTTTACAATGAGGGGTTTCTTGAGCAAAAGTAAACCCCAAAAGGCTGCAAGAGGCATAATTAACTATTTCGTGTATTTTGAAACGGCTACCAGTTGTAAACTCGTTCATATTCAATACACCATTCCCTTGCTCTAAATTTACACCACATATTCCTTTACATGTCATGTCATCAAGTATTGTATCTACAACACCATATCTCCCTCTTTATATCATGTCATCTGGTATTATATCTACATCACCATATCTCCCTCTATATGTCATGTCATCTGGTATTATATCTACAGCACCATATCTCCCTCTTTATATCATGTCATCAGGCATTATATCTACATCACCATATCTCCCTCTTTATATCATGTCATCAGGTATTATATCTACAGCACCATATCTCCCTCTTTATATCACCAGATGTTACATCTTCATCAGGTCCTCATTATGTACAAATATATAAGGCTGTAAAATTTTGGTACAAAACTTTATTCTGGTAGATGTATAACAGGTTAAACAGTTGGCAGTTTCTGAATATGAGTTTATAAGTGGCATTTCCAATAAATCTACAAACAGGGATAACACAGTTCAATGTTGGTAACTAATTCAACTGATATGCCATATATGGTTATATGAATTATACTTACAAAAATTCTCAAACACAGAAGATCTGGTGAAAAGTGATACAAGGGAAGTGCAATCTTTTACACTGTTCTAGGCTATATGTTGGTTCATGAGTCCTAACAACAGCTTTCACTTGTTTTCTTTACTTAAAAATATATAATATTTTGTAGCTCTAGAATATACCTGTGATTATGATTGTAAATATTCAGCTATCTTTGTATTATTTATACTGATGTCGGATAAGAGTAAACTGTATAAATATGTAATGTTAAATCCTACATAGACAACTCCACTTAACACTTATATTTCCACATCTTCTAATGATGCTAAAGACACTGCATGGTATATGTTATATATTGTCTCACTCACAAACAATTCAACACAAGCTGATTGTAAATCTTCTAGCTAACTACCAAGTAGGGTGTTGTCCTGTTGTAGCAAGATGACTTCA